TGGTTAAGTGCCCCTAGGTTCAATCCCTGGAAACAAAACCAAAACCAAAACAACAAAAAATGGGATCCTCCTGCTTCAACCTCACACATATGGCAGCCCAAGGCCTTGGAAAGCAATCTCCCACTGAGATATACTCCTCACTCAATAATTTATTTCAAAACCAAGGGTTCCATGGGTGTGGTGGCACACACCTATAATCCTGGCAATTTGGCAGGCTGAAGCAAGACGATTGCAAATTTGAGGCCAGCTTCAGTAATTTATAGAGACCCTAAGCAACTTAGTGACACCCTGTCTCAAAATACAAATAAAAAAATAAAAAGGGATGGGGGATGTAGATCAGTGGTAATGTACCCCTGGGTTCAACCCCAGCATGTATGAATGTCTATCTGTATATATTAATCAATCAATCGATTGATCAATCAATAAATGGCTGAGGATAACTTGGTGGTAAAGTTCCCCTGGTTCAATTCCCAGTACCACAAAAATTTTTTACAAAACAAAATAAAGTTAAAGGTCACATTTTTGTTAAAGAAAGTAAAGATAGCCAGGAATGGTGGTGTACTCTAAAGTCCCAGCAATTTGGGAGGCTGAGGGCTGGGGATATAGATCAGTTAGTACAGTGCTTACCTTGCATGCACAAGGCCCTGGGTTCAATCCTCACGACAGCAACAACAACAAAATGGGAGGCTGTTTGCAGAAGAATCACAAATTTGAAGCCAGCCTGAATAACTTTGTGAGATCCTCAGCAATTTAGCAAGACTCAAAATAAAAAATAAAAAGAGCTAGGGATGTAGCTCAGGGGTTAAGTACCTTTGGATACTTAAAAAGAGAGAGAGAGAGAAAGAAAATAAACTAAGACCACCATAAAGCAATAAACATGCGTTTTGTAAAATGCTATCAACTTTTAGAATTGGATGTTAAGAAAACGATCGTCAATCTTGAGTTGCCAACACAAAACCCCAGTTGTCAAACCGAGGTTTGCATAAAATGTATGTATTTGGGGTTGATTTCAGTATTGGTCTAATTCATACATGTGAAATGAGCCTATAAAATGTATTTATCAATATACTTCACAAATATTTAGATAAAAAAGAAAGAAAACTCATCTCCTTTAGAGATAGTTTAGTGTGAAACTGTCCATAATCTTAAGTATCTCTTTCCTCTCTAGTCACATGTATTTTTGTTAGGACTAAATATATCAAAATCTTGGCAGTTCCCTGGCTTGCTTTCTCTCCATCTGAGTTGAATTTTCTGCATGATTGAGTTCACCTCCAAACTATGAAAAACAAAAGTTTTCTCACTATTTAATAGAATGTGTGTGATATGGTATCCCTCAAATGATATATGTTCTTATAATGGGCCTTTGACTCACTCAGGGTCAGGCAAGAAAYGGACTTTCTTAAATGTGATTACTGAAAGCACAGCAATTCATATCATAATCTTCATTTTGAGAAATAAAAAAGGAAAATGGCCACTTAAAGCTCCTGGTCTGCTGGTCAGCCCTGCTCCTCCACTTCAAGGTGGAAAATGGCTCACCTGTTAGAAGATTCTCTCAAAAATGAGCTCTTTATCACACAAGAGCAGGTAAGCAGATACGACAGGATACAATTTTCCTACGTTTTAAAAGAGTGACCTGTCTAATGAGGTGCGGAAAAAATCTAAGACCTCATTATTAAGTGTAAAAAAATAATTGTAGACCCAGAGGGTAGAACAGGATCTTAAACAAAATAATTCCAAATAATCCAAAAATTACAAGTTTACTAATATAGCAGGGAAAAAGGTTTAAACCCCAGCACAGCAAAGTCCTCTTTTACATTTGGTGGTAAGATTAAAAATTCAGGTTTTCATATAAATGTGTCTGATGTAAAAGACTTTCACTGTATTTCTGAAATGGGAACCTAGCTCTTAGAAATTCTATCGTGTGCCCATCAAGCCCTCAGTAAATGTTAGTTGATTAAATATTAGTCAAAGATGACAAAGTGGGCACAAGGGACAGCAGAACCACCCCGACGAGACAGTGTGATTCAGTTACAGACAGGGTGAGCGCAGTGACGGTGGGAGCAGAAATTCGACCCTACTCGCTAGGCTGCAGGGGACCCGCCACTGTCCCCTGGCAATCCGGGGGAAAGGGTCATTCAGGGACCCACAGCGGAGAGCCCYGTGCCCGTAGGGAGGTCGGGGACTTCGCTGGGTCAACTACTTTGGTAGTCACCAAAGCTCTGAGGACTTGGGCTAGGGGATGCACTCGCCGCAAGAATACAGACGGGGTGCCACATAAGCGGGCCTACGGGTGACCCAACGCGTGTGTCCCGCGTTACCGCATCCGCTGACTCAGCAAGGCCGCGGCGTGCGCGGAATGCCGAGGAGTCAACAGCGCCCGCCCGTGTACCTGGCCAGCGCGCGCACGCGACGAGGAACCGCCCGCTTGTCTTCTGGTTCCCAGTGATTGGCGGAGGGAAGACGGGGGTGTAGGGCCAAGAAYGCCATTGGCGGCAATTCCCAGTCACTCCACGAGCTAGGGAGGGGAGGGGGCCTCAACAGGGAGGAACGCGACTGCGAAGCGTTTTCAAGGCCGTCAGACGCCATCTTTAGCTCCTTTTTTTTTTTTTTTTTTTGTTTACTTATTTCTGTCCTCCGCTGCTCACAAAGCTGTGTACACGATTATAAGTACAGTGGCCACAAATCAGTCTTATATGCTTGGTGGTGGCTGGTTTTAGTTACTGAAGGCCTTGGTTACAGATTTTTCTAGATAACGCTTGCAAAGTGGCAGTTCTTATTAGTTAAAAGAAGTTTTAATCTCTAGGGGACCCTAGGATTCCCAAGCAGAATCAACTGAGTTTAGCTTTACTTTGCCTTGGTAAGAAAGCCAAGCCAACGAAATATTCGAAGAAAGGATTCTCCCCTTAGAAATTCATAGTGAGGACATTGAGTATGAACGAGCCTCCGTTCCAAGATGTAGACATTGAATACCTAGGAAGTGGCTGTGTACCACTCTCCCTTTTCTGGGAAGCTAAATCGTGTACATGATAATGTGCAGTGATGTGGGAGACTTAAGGTAAAACCCCATTAACAATCCTATCACTGCTATGATTACAAAGGTCACCAGAGTCAGGTTAGACTTAAAAAAAAAAAAAAAAAATCCAGGTCTAGGCTTGTGGAATGATCCACATTAGAGCCAGTATTTATTAAGCAATGATCTGACTTGCAGTTTTTGTGAATAAAAATATACTTGGTACAGGAAAAAAAAAAAAAACACAAAGAGAGCTCATCAGGGTCATTTTCATTATAATAAATTCAAGACCTTGGCAAGTTAAGTTTATTGCAGTTGTCACTTAAGTGTCTTAAAAGTCGTTTGAAATCGAGTAGGACACTAGCTGAGGAATGGATAGGTATGATTATCATCATACAGAGGTTTTGAACCCTGTAGTGGATCCTTCTATCTCCTGGTTGCTGCTAGTGACATTCCAGTTTCTCCCTGATCACCCATATACTTCCTATGCTTTCAATCCAGTATACAAATATAAATTTGTTGTAGGTATTTTCTGTATGACTTCTTCCTAATAAGGGAGACTGGTCCTATAAGAATGAAGTGACCATACATATACTCCTATAGCAAGGATGCTCTGCTCTGAGACTGTTGTCTTCTCATTTTTCTGAGTCTCTTAGGGAGAGAGATTTTAATTCCAAAAGTGCAACATTATAACCAAAAATGCATTTCTTGTTTCTTCTATCACTTGTTTTTGCTTCCTTTTGGCCCCAGAATTGGACTTGCCTGGATTTTTTTTCTGATACTTTGCAGCTGTGGAGCTTTTCAAACAAATCCCAACCAATAAACGACCATTTTGTCAAAAAGCCAAGAGAGAATTTCCCTTCTGAACACACCAACCAAACCACACATATAGGCCAAAATATACACAGCTGTACATTTAAGAACATGAGACAATAAAAAGCAAAACCACTTAGGCAAAACAGTCACTAAAGGTAGCTTTGAACCACAGATTCAATAAATTGCCTCCCCTCATTTGCCACATGAACTATATATTTCCTGGTAATTATTTTTCACTAATCTGATCCTTTAAAACAGGAGCAGAAAAATACAGTAAATGCACATAGAATGAAAGTGCCTAAGTATGATAAGCATAGGGTTTCTTCTAAGCTCTAGTTTGCACATGAAATCCTGTTTTGATCATATTTGGGAATACAACAGAAAAAAAAATTCACATCCTAGGGTTTACGTGGAACACATAAAATCAGAATCACTTTTGAAAATCTGATATGGCACATATACACATATTGTACATATACACAAAGAATAAACCCCAAGATAATTTTTTTACAAAATTATGCTTTAAGAAACACACACACACATACACACACACACACACTCACAGAGAAATGTCCTTGTGAAATTGTGTGTGCAAGACACACGGTAAGAAGGTATTTCCCCTCTCTCCAGGGAAATGAGTATCCCAATTATAATATCCCAATATTTTTAACCTATTGGACTCAGACAATTGCCACATCTAAGCCACCTGGTTTTGGTTCTGGGGAAGGTGTGTAAAACRCACGCTAAAAGGCTTTTGTGAGGGAGCCTCAAATCTCTGCTTCCTTCGATGTTGCCCGTGGCAGAAATTTACATTATCCCTACAGCCCGCTGTAAAAAAGAAATCTGTACTTCCCAAGCGGCTAAATTTTAAAATCCCTTAACCACAAAAATTTACCAGTTCTTAAAATGTGATAGCAAAAAGAAGAAAAAAAAAAACTCAATAAATTTGGCTAGAAACAGTTGCACACGGCCATCCTGTTCTCAACTTCTTGGTATATTTAAAACCTTGACCAGGAAAAAGAAAGAGGAAGAGAGAGAGAAAAAGAAATGGGGGAAAGAGCAAATTCCTCTTAGCAACAGTTTCCTCACCCCAACACTGCCACAGATCTCTATTTTTAAAAATTTTGAAAACACACACAAGATTAAGGAGGAAAAAAAAATGGAAAAAGGATACCCGAAGGTCGTATGGCTCTTTGTATTCGTGTGTGTGCAAAAAGGAGGACTCGCGGAGCCCAAGCCGGCAAGCCCCGCCCCTCCCCGGACGCCCGCCCGGATTGGCCGCCGGCGACTGAAGGGCGCCCCGCCCGCGAGCACACGCGCCGCGCCCGAGGCACCGGCCCCGGGGGCCCACGCCCGCCGCGCGACCCGCGACCCCTGCAGCCGGATCCCACAGCTTGGAGGCTCCTCCCGCTCTCCCCGCCTCCGCCCGCTTCCTTTCACTTTCTCACCGGCCTTTCACCCTTTCCCATCTCTTTTTCCCAGTGAAACAAGGCCCAGTCACCAACATAACAGTCCAGTGAAAGAGCTCTTTCTGACACTTGGCCAAACTTGGTAAACTAACTTGTTAGCAGCATCGTTCTAACCTGGGATTAACATCAGGCCCTAGCTCCTGGATTCCAGGTGGAATGTCTCTGGGTCATGCCTTTTGCTTAACACCCTCACCTTTCCATGTACATTCCCATGTTGTGACAACATTCAGGTTAAAGAAATAAGTCTTTGGGTGTTATATTTTCACAGCCTGAGCCCCCAGTTTTTCCTATTTGGCAAAGACCATATTCTCAAGAAGCTAAAATGGCATCCCTTTACTTCTTGCAAAAGACCAGTTACTTATACCTAGATGATGATGATTATCTGGGGATTATTGAAACTAGGACTGCTGTATTATTCAGCCACATTGTCAATCCTTTTTATTTTTTCTGTTGAGACAGCTTCACTAAATTTCCCAGGCTGACCTCAAATTTGGAGTCTTCCTGCCTCAACCTCCCGAGTCACTGGGATTACAGGGGTGCACCATCAGGTCAGGCTTCACCTAGAATTTTACTTTATTTATTTACTGGGGATTAAACCCAGGGGAACTCTAACATTGAGCTACATTCAGCCCTTTTTATTTTGAGAGACGGTATCACTAAATTGTTCAGGCTGGCCTCAAACTTGCAATCCTCCTCCCTTAGTCGCTGGGATTACAGGTGTGTGCCACCGTGCCTGTTAAGGAAGGACTGTTGTAAATTAAAGAACAATGAAGAAATATGGAAAGTAAATGCAAAGTGTGAAATGAGTCAAAAAAGTTATAATAGTCATTACTAGCATAATTCAGGGTAATCAAATATGGCTTAGATATTAGATAATTTGATTGTATCAATATTAAACAGAAAGTTATTGGCATTACCAATTTAAAAGAAACTGAACTAAATTTATTCCAAGCCAGTTTATCCAGCACCTCCCCACACACATTTTGGCACTGACCATCAGTTAGGCCATATGCTTGCCTTCATTATTTTTTTTTTCCCTTAGTTTGTTCAAGCTAGGCAATAGCTTTGTCTTTTATCTGAAAATGAGGTACTAACTAGCATTTATGGGTTTTTGTTTTGTTTTTTGGTGCTGGGGATTGAACCCAGGGTTTCACACATGCCAGGCAGTTTTTATGTTCTTAGTGTTATAGACTTTCTGTGTTTTTGTTTTCATTGTGCTGGGAATTATACGCAAGGTCTCATGCATGCTAAGCAAGCAAGCACTCCAGCACTGAGCTATGTCCCCAGCCCTGTATTTCTTTGTATATGTTTTCCACTTAATCATTTTAAATTTTTATTTATGTAGCTATGCTGGGGATCAAACCTAGGGCCTTATGCATGCTATAGGCAAGTGCTCTACCACTGAACTACATCCCCAGCCCTTTATATTTTATTTTCAGACAGGGTTTTGCTAAATTAACTACCTAGCCTTGAACTTGCAATCCTCCTGCCTCAGCCTCCTGAGTAGCTGGGATTACAGGTGTGTGTCACCACGCCTGGATATTTTCTTGGCCATGGGGCTGGGGACATACTTGCCTCACATGCACAAAGCCCTAGGTTCAATCCCCAGCACCATAAAAAAAAAAAAAAAAACTGGCCTTAAGATCACCAGGAACTATTAACTTTTTGTTTTTTTCCAGTGCTAGGGATTGAACCCAGGGCCTTGTGTATGCAAGGCAAGCATTCTACCAACTGAGCTATACCCCCAACCCAATTATTAACTTTTGATACAAATACACTTGGACTTCTCACATTTTCTCTTTCTTATTGGTACTGGGGATTGGACCCAAGGGTACTTTACCACTAAGTTACATTCCCCAGCCCTTTTTATTTGTTTGTTGTTTTGTTTTGAGACAGGGTTTCCCTAAATTGTCAGGCTGACCTTGAATTTATCTTCCTGCTTCAAACTCCTAAATCCCTGGAATTACAGGCAATGTACCACCATGCCCGCTTGGAATCTCATATTCTCAATGTGCAGATGATACATTCTCAAAACTGTTAGGGTAAAGGGAAAACAGAAATGTTATTATTTTAATGAACAACTGTAGAATATTTACTTGGTGCCAGGCACTCTGTATTTCATTTAATCAATTTTTTTTCAGTTTTCAGTGGACACACATCTTTTTTTTTTATTGATTGTTCAAAACATTACAAAGCTCATGATATGTCATCTTTCATACATTTGACTCAATTGGGTTATGAACTCCCATTTTTACCCCAAATACAAATTGCAGTATCATATCGGTTACACACTCACGTTTTTACATAATGGCATATTAGTGACTGTTGTATTCTGCTACCTTTCCTATCCCCTGCTATCCCTCCTCCCCTCCCCACCCATCATCCCTCTGTACCTCATCTGCTGTTGTTCAATCCTCTCCCTTGTTTCCCCCCCTTTCCCCTCACAACCTCTTATATGTAATTTTGTGTAACATTGAGGGTCTCCTATCATTTCCATATGCTTTCCCTTCTCTCTCCCTTTCTCTCCCCCCATTCGTCTCTGTTTAGTGTTAATCTTTTCCTCATGCTCTTCCTCCCTGTTCTGTTCTTAGTTTCTCTCTTTATATCAAAGAAGACATCTGGCATTTGTTTTTTAAGGATTGGCTAGCTTCGCTTAGCATAATCTGTTCTAATGCCATCCATTTCCCTGCAAATTCTATGATTCTGTCATTTTTTAGTGCTGCGTAATACTCCATTGTATATAAATGCCACATTTTTTTTATCCATTCGTCTATTGAAGGGCATCTAGGTTGGTTCCACAGTCTAGCTATTGTGAATTGTGCCGCTATGATCATTGATGTGGCAGTATCCCTATAGTACGCTATTTTAAGATCCTCAGGGAATAGTCCAAGAAGGGCAATAGCTGGGTCAAATGGTGGTTCCATTCCCAGCTTTCCCAGGAATCTCCATACTGCTTTCCAAATTGGCCGCACCAATTTGCAGTCCCACCAGCAATGTACAAGTGTACCCTTTTCCCCACATCCTCGCCAACACTTGTTGTTGTTTGACTTCATAATGGCTGCCACTCTCTCTGGAGTGAGATGGTATCTTAGGGTGGTTTTGATTTACATTTCTCTAAGTGCTAGAGATGGTGAGCATTTTTTCATGTACTTGTTGATTGATTGTATGTCCTCCTCTGTGAAGGAACACACGTCTTTAATTTATTTGGTGCTGAGGATCGAACCCAGCGCCCCACACATGCCAGGAGAGCACGTTACCGCTTGAGCCACATCCCCAGCCCTGCTATTGGGTATTAAACCCGGTGTGCTATATCACTGAGCTATACCCCAGCCCTTTTTATTTCTTTATTTTGAGACAGGGCCTTGCTAAGTTGCTGAGGCTGGGCCTTCAACTTGCAATCCTCCTACATTAGCCTCCTAAGTCGATGCAATTATAAATGTGCTCTACCCCACTCATCCTCATTTAATCAATTCTTTGAGATCTATTACACTTCTCTACTGCTGAAGAAAAAAAAAACTAAGAATCTGAAGGGGGTTGTTAAGTTACCTCAAGGTCACTGAGTTCATTAACTCAGTGATGGCCAGTGATGGAGTCAGAACTTGAATCCAGGTGAGTTGACTGCAGAACCTGAGCTCTTGGCTATTCATTAGTCTCTGCTTAAATTGAAATCCACTCTATCTTGATGTTAACCTTTTCACTGTGTTGTTCTAAGTCCATGAAAGACAGAGCCTTTACTCTGATGATCAATGGAATTTTCATATCCCCCTATAGTCTCCTGGGATATATTTTTATATTTTTTTATTTGTTCTTTTAAATCTGGGATATATTTTAAATTATGAGTCTGTTTCTATAAAGGTCTGAGTTAAGTTGGAAGAGTCATTTATTTTTAAGCTTCTTTCCCCCTCTATGATTATGGGGGAATCTTTGAAAAGAAAGTCTAAGTAAAGCACTTTGTGCTAAAGCAATGAGAATAGGAAGAAAATGCGTCTGTTTCACCTAAAAATTTACAATTTTCAACTCTAAAAAAATTGAGATTTCAAATGTTAGACCTTACATATGACTTGTTGGTAGAGGAAAAGCTGCTTGCTTATTTGGCTTTGAATCCAGCAGATCTTTTATTGTAAGCTGTTTTTATTCTTGAGATCCCAAAGGGGCCTCTGAATAGTGAAACATAACTTGCCCTAGAGTGAGGCCAGAAAGCTGTTTCTGACTGTCATTCATTAACACACCTGAGAGCATTTTAAAACAGTGCAAGGAAATTCTAGAACCAGCTGAGAATGTGTCCTCAGAGTGGGCAGATTCAATTTTTAAGGAAAAATATTCTGAATTTGACTGATTATTAAGTACAAAAGAAATTGTATAAACAGCTGGGAAGTGTTTTCTTTTCTTTTGGTACTAGAGAGATTGAACCCAGAGGCAACAACACCAAGCCACATCCCCAGCCCTTTTTAATATTTTATTCAGAGATAGGGGCTTGCTTGCTAAGTTGTTTAGGTCCTCACTAAGTTTATGAGGCTGGCTTTGAACTCACACTCCTCCTGCCTCAGCCTCTGTGCTGCTGGGATTACAGGCATGTGCCCAGCTGGGATCACTAAAAAAATAAAAGCCAAAGCCAGGCAGTGGCACACACCTGTAATCCAGTGATTTAAGAAGCTGAGGCAAGAGGATCACAAGTTCAAGGTCAGCCTGGGCAACTTAGTAAAACCCTGTCTCAAACAATAAAAGGATTTGGGGA